TATATTTGATTTAATTTTTTTTATTGTTCTTGTATCAATGTTTTATTTAATTGGTCCACCTACACAAATAACTTGCTATCAAATTTATGCATTGGAGATATTAGTTTATTTTAATTTTTAGTCTTTTAACATTACTCCTACTAGTATGAGTCCCATGCAGTGCACGGGTAAGAGATATTTGTTAATACTTATAAATTAAAAACTCTTATTAAATAATATTTATAAATTAAAAATATGGAATCAATATGTCATACAATTTACCTATATTAATTTATTGAAAATGTTATATAAAGTTTAAATTGTGCAAAATTATATAAAAATGTCAATTTAAAATTAGTATACAACCCGTGCGGTGCACATAACTGATAATAAATTACATTATACTCGTTTTAAAATAAGTATCATTTCGAAATTTTTATTTAAAAAATCGATTTGACTATATGTGGTTACATAAAATAGTTATTTTGGTAAAATATTATCATATATTTAACAACCTGTGTGAATAATAAGTATAAATATAAAATTTATATTGTTTCATTACTTAAAATAATTATTATTGTATAAACTATTCAAATAGAAAAAACTATGTAGTTGAGTAATTTATTAAACTATAAATAATTGACTATTTCGTTTACGTCCAAGTTAATATTGACCCGTAAGTTATGAATAATTATTTTTTATTTTTAAATTTAAATAAAATTTTTTTTTTCAATATATTATATACCAAATTTAAACCATGTAACTAATAACGGTAATAGCTGCAAGTTTTGTAAATATATTATATTCAAATTTAAATCATGCAACTAATAAAGGTAGCCGCAATATTTGACCAAAATGATTCTGTACATTAATTTAGGCGGGATTTTTCAAATTTTGGCCAAAAATATTACTGAATATAGTAAATACTTTAGGTGAAAAACCAAATTTATTTTGCTGATTTTTAGTTACTATTTCAAGTAAATATCATTGCCTCTTTATATATTAATGGATAGATTTCAAATAAATCCCTATCCTTTTTTGGGATTTACATGCCATATTTTTGGGATTTACATGCTATTCACATGCCCAAAAACAATCATTTCATGTTCAAATTAGTTTAAGCTATTTGATATATATTTATGTTAAGATTAGTAAAATATATTCCCTATCTTATCTCTGCCAATAACATTGTGAACGAAATTGAAGAAGATACTCCTTTATTTTCCTATAGTTATGGTAACAAATCTCTATAGTCGATATTATGATCGAGATTTTGAAATTTTTTTTTTTTTGATGGTTAGATAAACATAGTAACAATTTATTTGTAGGAATCTCTATAGTCGATAGTAACTTTTGTTAGGAATGATTCGTCGGAATTTTAGGAATTAAGGTTTACATAATATTTTATTCAAATAACAATTTATTTGAAATTGAATTCAAAATTTCATTTAGCCGTCATTTTTCAAAAAAATGAGTTTATAATAAATTTTAGATACAAATTTTGAACGTTATTATTATTCAAAAAAATAACTAATTACTTTTTTTTTTCATTTAGCCGTCACTTATGTGATATTTGTTCAATTTATTGTCATGAATGTAGTTTTTGTACAACAAATTATATACATAATTCATAAAATAAAAGTTGATTGGTAAAATAAAAAACTGAGATAAATATTGCTTAACAAATTTTGTTAATTTAACCTGTTGAGTGGATTTTAAAAAAAAAAATGACTTTTAAAATTCATGATCTTAGATAACGATTGTTAAACAAATTTTGTTCAATTAAGCTGTGGAGTGGATTCTTTTATTAAAAAAATGACTGGTAAGATAATAAATTGAGATAAACACAAACTGCTAAGATAAACATGGACACAAATTGATTTTCTAGAACTTACAATTATACAAATTTTCAAACATATATCTTGAATGAAAACATTTGACCGGAAATAAAGTGATGTGGCAACTTTCACATTTTGAATCATAAAAAACGTGTCTGGTTGGGAAATTTCAAAAAATTTCATAAAAAAAGTTCCATTAGTAGCAAGAAACGAATTTTTGGGCGAGATTTTTATAAATTAATCCTTATTTTTTGAAGTAAATTCTTATTCCTATTATATATTAATAGAAATTCTTATTCTTATTATATATTAATAGATTACAATCCCAAATGGATAAGAAAACTAAGTCCATATTGAAATTGGCTTTCTATCAGTTAATGACTTTTACACTTGCATAATCTATTGGTCAAACCAAAACTCTCTCTTTCCAACTTGAACGGCCGAATAAAATGCCACGGAACTACAACTGCTTTCTCTCACCCAAAAATTTCTGCCGAAAAATTGGAACCGTCATCTTAACGCACTATTGTTCTGTTTGCCAAAAAAAAAATTCAGAAAATAACGGCCATTTCATGCATCATGATTTGTCCGTATAGCACCATGGGCCCATGGCATACCAAGCATCATGGCAAACCACGCTCCAGTTCGGCCAGCAACTTGTACGATGTTCAGCTATGTCCGACCAAGTCTAAAAAGCTCCGTCTTGTTTTCCATTCAGCTCGCTCAAGAAATGAACACACAATCTGTCGAAAAAAATTTCAACACTCAATTTCTTGGAAAAAAACCATAAAAAAATTATTTAGTTGTTTTTAAATTCACATGTCACCCACTATTTGACATAAAGCCAGTAGCCGACAATTCCTTTAGATTTGCATCAACTAATGGATACCTAAAGGGTGACCGATGATAAATCAGTTCGCATAAACTTTAGAAATGATTTACAGAATTTTTCCACTGTTAAACATTGGACAAAAATATCCCAATAATGATAAAAACTTTAAACACTGTATACCCAGTTCGACCATCCCTCCAAGCATCGAAAGGTGCTTGGTCTTGGCTCTAATTAGGCTTTACATTCCGAGGACTGCCTGACAAAAGGGGGTGGAGTTTATTTAAAAGGATCGTCATACTTAAAAGTGTCAAGTGATTAAATATCGGTTCATTTACCTAAGTGAAAAAATAGAGTTTCCTTGCTTGATGGATAGAAACCTGAAGCAGTCTCTCCATATAAGTTCAAACAACAAACTGGAGGAGGAAAGAACAAAAAATAGAAGAAAAAAGTTTACACTAACTACATACGTTACAGAAAGTTATCAGACTATCTAAATTCACAATTATAAGAGCAGGAGAGGAACGCCTTTTTAACGATGTTCTAAATAGGGGATGAGACAAAACGAACCAATAGGTAGAGTCATTTTCTTCTCTCTACTTTTCATATCTTTTCACCTAAATAAGTTAAAATTTCATCCGTATCAGAATTTCATAAACAAATCATGTTTCTTAATGTGTTACCATTCAGCTCACCAGGCTATGTCTATTCAGGCGACTTTCGATATGGAAGGGCCAGCACGATGCTGTCGAGTCCATCCGCCTTCGCAGCCTTGCACCAGAATTCCGGTCAAGTCCTCTAGACCACCAGCCCGACCGCAAGCATCCAACAACCATGAAAACCGGCCAGCACTGCCTTGCGGCCTTTGAGAAGAAGCCGGCTAGCTTGCTTTATTCGCGACCAGTCCTCTCCTGCTATCAACAACTTTTTGAAGGAAGGAGAAAAATCAAGCATTACATTACATAAATGTAAAGATGCAGTTCTAAAAAAAGGCAAAAAAGCAGAGCGAAAGTCAAGCTAAGAAAACCAGAGAAAATCATAAGTTACAGGGTGAGACCGGTGAATAAGCAGACCACTGGCTAATCCTCGTGACAAACTCAATCTCCGAGTCGATGCCTCGAATACTCTCGCGTAGGCCGGCAACAAAACAGAGCAAAACTCAAGCTAAAAAACCAGAGAAAATCATAAGTTACAGGGCGAGACCGGTGAATAAGCAGACCACTGGCTAATCCTAGTGACGAACTCAATCTCCGAGTCAACGCCTCGAGTACTCTCGCGCAGGCCGCTGGAGCCGTCGAGTTGGTGCCGAAAGTCGTCGACTGATTTTCTAGAGCGATGGTGATGTGGTGGCTATGGTGGTGGAGAAAGACTGGATCTTGAAACGACTGCAACGATAGCCTTGGTATTAGTGCGGCGCGACTGTTTCTCGAGAGAAAATCAGAAAATTGGACGGCTTGAAACTCCATGGCCGAGGAGCTCGTCTCCGCCGGAGCCCCACCAGGAAAAAGGACTTTATGGTGTCGGCTATGGACAGCGGCAGAAATCTCTTTATTTCAAAATTTGGAACGTCATGTTTCATAAAAAGAATGTGACTTTTGAATGATTTTGAGGATTTAAATTGACAGATTTTCCAAAAAAATCTTGATATGAAGGGTGATGGTATGAAAAATGGTAAGGAATAATTTTTTAGGAATGTGGATATCTGCAAAGTTAAGATAAGAGCGTAGCCAAAAAAATCTACACAACTGATAAGGAAATTTTTTTTTTTTATCTATCTACAAATAATTGGCAAAAAAATATGACCATATCTTTAAGTGATAAACAAATAAAATCATCCCATATGATCACTGGCGGGCATATAGGCTGAAATCAATGAATAAAATCTCCAAAAAATTTGAATTGCATACTGAGCGGGCATATTAAATTTTTTGAAGAAAAAATTACTCATTATAGTAAAGATTTAGGCGAGAATTGAAATGTTTTTTTCCTGATATTTTCTTGCTATTTCAGGTAAATATCATTCCTCTTTATATATTAATAGATGTAGATAAACATTGCAATCATTAATTGATATGTATTAAAAATTATTGTATTTCAAAACTATAACATTGAAAATGCTCTAATAATCCATTTAGTACAATTGCACGACTTAATTACTAGTTTCATTTTCATACATTTTTCTGCACATTTATTAAAAAAACAAATAATTTTTAAGTACGCGATGTGGATAATGTGCTTATTTCTTCAATTGTCCCGACGAAGGGTTTGCTGCAATTCACCTGCAAATCTTTAATCTTTGTATTGTGGAACTTACCTCCTTTACTCCATTTGTACCTAGCCCCAGCCCGGCATAAATGGTGGACACACCAAATCCAATACACACCGGCGATGCTTCACGGAGAATCATTTCGATTGCCGTCGGCGAAGCTCACACTCTCGCTCTAACAGGTTTATTGTCACTCACATTCCGTTTTCACCTGTCGTTTTACATCGCTAATAAAAGTGCAATCGTAGGTGATGGGAAAGTGTATTCTTGGGGAAGAGGGATGTTCGGCCGGCTGGGCTCCGGTTCGGAGGAAAACCGGCAATTTCCTGTTCGAGTCAGCTTCTATGGTTCTGATGATGAAAGGGAAGATACTCACAAGATTATAGGGATTGCTGCTGGGGCTTACCACAGTCTTGCTCTTACAGGTAAAGTATCATGTGGTGGAATCATAATGCTACTTTTTGAGTTCAATGCAAGAATCACCAGTCCATTAAGGTTGTAACCGGTAAAATAAAGTTACGCATATGTTTGGTTGATTGGATTGTTGTTGCCACTGTTGTTGTTTTTATTGTAATTTGTTACTACAAAAAAATTGTGATTACCTTCATTTCATATGAAAATACTCCTACTGCTGCTTAAGCTACAATGTGGAGGTTCATGTGGTCATGAATAATATTATATGCAGCAGCCGGTGAATACACTGTATCTTGATTACGAGTTCCAACTTCATTTTGGCAGATGATGGAAAGGTCTGGGGCTGGGGTTACAACATCTGTATCCTTCATTTCAATTTGTTGTGAACAAGATTAGTGCAATATCTCCACACATCCTCTGTGCCTTTTCTCTTTCTTTCTGCTTCTTATTTCTGTAAACTTTGTTCTGAGACACGAGTACTCCTTCACTACTATGTGGATGGCCAAATTGATGGTTCTGGGAAGAATTATTTAACTCCTCACTTATTAAATGGTTTCTCCGGATCGGGATCTCCCGACTCTTCAACGCAAGATGATGATAACAAGAGAGGCAAACCACTCAAGGTATGGACTAGTATATAGTTCTTTTTCAAATCATTAGTCTAAAAAGAAGACCACCCATGAGGCTCAATCTTATAGTGCTAAAAAGAATCTCAGTTATCATTTGAAAGTATAAAATACTTCCTTGACAGGCGTTTCTAATTTACAGATCAAACTTCCAATGGCGGAACATTTGAATGAAGAACGCAACTAAAAATTTTTGTGTCGTACAAGAGAATATTTTGTAATAAAAATAACCAGTACCTTTTGATTTTTCTTTCTTCCTATGTTTATCTATGTGTAATTGGGCTAGACTTGAAGAAAGTGTTTGTAATTCACTCCTTATGTAATTATTTAAAACTTGCAAAAGAATAAAAAAATAAATCAAAAGTGCCCTTCCTAATAGCGCTACTTCCAGATTTCATGTGTAGAAGCTGGAGGAATGATGTCACTCGCGATCGACGAGCTTGGGTCCCTATGGATATGGGGTAACTGCCCAACCCTTCCCCCGAGATCACATTTTCGCTCATCAGCACCGGATCTCCACTCCCTTTCTCGAACTTCCATGGCCGCACGGTCATCAAGGTTGCGTGTGGAAACGAACATGTGATCGCATTAGTGACAGCTGGCAAGGACCCGATCTGCTACTCGTGGGGCTGCAACACCCATGGCCAGCTAGGATTGGGGGACAATGAAAGTCGGTCGAGCCCCGAAATTATCGAGAAATTCAACTCAGACTCCCACTGGGAAGTCTATGACATGGCATGCGGCGCGGCCCACACGGCCGTTTTAGCAAAGAGAAAATCGCCGAACGAGATTCTCGAAAGCTTCTGCTGGACGTTTGGGTCGGGCGAGAACGGACAGCTCGGGCACGGGACCACACAGGGTTCGGATTCGCCCGAGATGGTCAAGAGTTTGCCCTCGGGGGTATTTTTGGTATCTGTCGGGTGCGGTTTGTTCCACACGAGCGTTGTCTCGTCCACTGGAAAAGTGTGGTCGTGGGGAATGGAGAAGGGTTTGGGGCTGTGCCCAGACGCCAGGTTTTCGGGAACTGAAGCTGGCGATGCCCTTCTCCCTCTGCTCGTTTCCTCCGGATTTCGTGAACCCTCGCGGATCGCATGCGGTGGGGCCCACACAGTCCTTGTGACAGATATGGGCTACAGAGTCTGGGCTTGGGGCCGAGGAATGAGTGGAGCTCTCGGGAGCGGAAGGAATGATGACTCGTACTCTCCTGTGCCAGTGCTGTGGCCACCGCCAATCGGCGATGATGATTATATTGGCAAAGGGCAAAATGGGAATAGCGGAGATTTAAATGGTCCGGAGATTGATAGGGAAAAGATTCTTGAGTCGAGACTTTTGGTGGTGGAGAGTTACGCGAGTGTTCTTCATGGCTTGATTTTTGGGAGGCCGCTGGAGGTTGATGAGATTCCTATCGAGTGTGGCGCGTTTGATATTGCAAAGGAGTGGGAGAGAATGGTGGATTCTTTGGACGAAAGGGGACTCGCTCGTTTGGAGATGTTTTATAGGGACATGCGTGCTGGCGTGAAGGATAGGCTCTTGAAGAGGAGGGTGTTGGAGATTGTTAAGGAGCGCCTCAATTTAAATGCCTCGAGTGAATGAAGGTTAGTGTGATAATATGCTTTTGAGATTTGTGTGCAGGTTATGAGTGCTTGTTTTATGACTTCTCAATTGTCATTAGATGTTTTAGTGTCCAGTTGTATATAGGAAAACATTAAGTATCCACGAAGTAATGTTACGTTGTTGAGAAAGAATCGTAAGAAATGCAAGGAAGAGGTATGTGGTTCCAAATTTTGGTTTTTATTTGTGTATACAGAGGTTCTTAAAAATGAAATATCCATTCATGTGTTCCTAAAAGTCAAATTTAATTGAGGTAATTGCTTTTTAGTTAAACTAGTAGAGGAAACAAAAATTTATATATTATATGTATGTATATGATATATATTTTTTTTTTTTTGGAACAATAGAGAATATTATATAACAAAACGCATAAATGTGCAAAGATATAACCCCTAGTTGAATACTACAACCAAAAGTTGTATAAACTGGGAGGACAGGTCTGACGACCGCCTAGAATCCCGACACTAACAACGCTAGAAACCATAGAACAAGACTCACGATACAACCAACACAACAAACACTAAGAAAAACTAAAAGCTTCCAACAGGAGAATAGAGACGGGAGCTGATCCCTAACAGGTTAATACCGACTCCTTCTCTGGCGCAGAGGCAAATGACCCAAACAAAAAACACGATACCTAACAGACAAACAAAGAAAACGAACAAACACGCCTAGAATCAACCAAAACAAACAAAATTGAAAGCGGACAGCCCTTCCACAACAGCAATTCCATGTCGAACCGGCAGTCACCAAATGGGCCCAAGGTAGTCTCGCAGCCCAAGAAAGTCGACCCCTCCACTGTCGAAACCGCTTAGATGAGTCGAATCCCAAGCATCGGAGCACACCCAAAGCCGACTCGCCCCGAAGCCGAAAATCACCAGGATTGCACCTAGTCGCCGCTGTATAGAGCAGACTACACCACTAGCGAACTCAGTACCATCGACAAGCTCCCCAGAAACCAACGCCAGAGAACCGGGGAAAAGGAGCAGTCACGATGTCGCTGCCCCGACCACTCCAACCCGAAGCCGCAAGCTGTCAGAGCCGCACCCGATCCCATCCACTAAACCGCACCCCATCCATCCCTACCGCAGCACCGCAGAGGCCTTCGATCGAAAACCAGAGAAGAACCTACTGGAGCAGGCGAAGCCGAACCTGGGCGATCTATCTCCACCGGAGCTTTATGGCGAGAGAAGCCGCAACATCTGGAAGAGGATCAGGCGGCAAGGGCCGACCGCCGACGAAGCCCGGAAGCCGTAATGAAGGCGACGATGAACGATGAAGGCGGGCAGACAAGAGGGAAATTGGAAGGGGAGAGAAATTAGGTTTTTTTCTTGCTTATTTGACTAATGATATTTAAAAATTTAAATTAGATAAAGTGTGGTATTACATTTTAAAATTTTGATTATATATGTATATATAGAGAAGGGATCATATGAGAAAGGAGTATAGTTAAAGAAATAAGAATGATTGTAAGCCTCTAGATCTAGCAAATAAGTGGTCATGATAAAGTCAAACTTTAATAATGCAGTCAAACATATAATGGCAATAAGGTAAATAAGTTAATATATTGTGGTCAAATATTAGCATTTGACCACTTATTAAGGATAAATTTATCATGAAATATAATAGAAGTGGGACCCACTTATTAATAAACATCACACCTCTTCCCCACCCCCACCCACCCACTACCTGCACGTCTCTCACACGCACACACTTCATTAAACACACACTGTACACACACAGATCTGCGACGCCAAATTGACGGCCAATCCCGCCCGCCGAAATTGACGCCGAACGCCGCACATCGTTGCCACTCTTCCTGCCGCCACATACCTTGCCGGCGCATCCGCCGGAGATCCCATATGTGGAGCTTCATCTGTCCGCCACAAACCTACAGCCGTCATCCAAGTTTTCAGGCCCACTGGCCATGTCGCCTCCGTCAACACTCTGATGTCGTCATCAGCCGTCCGCCTTGGTGCAGCCGACAACAACCCTCCAACCATTGACGCCAGCCCGCTGCCTCAGCCACATGGTTCCGACCGCCCTCAGCCAATGGTCGTTACCAGCCCGCCCTCAGCTAATGGTCCATTGCAAGCCTGCCCTCAGCCACCGGAAGACGGCATGAGAGGCAAAGACGATGGCGGCGGACGGGACACGGCTGGAAATCGGGCGCCTTAGACATTTTTTCAGATTTTGTTTGCTCAATTTTGTACATTAATGAACAAGGACTTGATTTTGTAAATTGGATAACAACTAGGGGCTTAATTGCAATTTCAATCATTTTAATAAATAACAATTGAGTTCATGGGTGAATTTGTAATTAATCAAACTATAAATTAATATTTTAACATTTCATTTAATGTTTAATATTTTTTATAGTTTTATTGAAATAAATACACATAAAAAATAAACAATAATAACAAATAACATTATTTTTTATGCAATCGACCGTTCGATTATTTTGATTATCTAAATAACTAAAAAAATTTAAAAATTAATATTTTTAATATAGTTTATTTTTTATTTGGATTATTTGAATAAAAAATAACATCATATCAAAATAACCGATATATAAAATAATAATAATAATAAAATCCGACCTTTAACCTACTAGTATTATCCGATTGATTAGCGTAATTACTACAATTTTGGTTGTAATTGTGGTAGGTACATCATTATTTTATAAGGTGCAACATGTTGTGTTATAAGGTGCAATGTAACCCTCGCATCATTATTTGAACCTCGTTGGAATTTGAAACTTGTTTTGCTATATTTTATAATTTGTAGTCATTAATTAAAAACTCAACCAATTGAATTAGAGTATTTAGGACTTGTTCACCCTTTTTGTGATTAAATACGCGTACAATTTAATCCGGCTAGCCTTCCTTGAGACACGACGCGGTGTTCGAATCTTTCGATTTAACTCTGGTAAAAGTAACTATAACAATTATAAACTCGGAGGACACCCAAAAGTGGGCCATGGTTTGTAATATATGACAATAAAAGAAAAATTATAATTAATGTTAGGTTAATTAGTGTGTTTGTCCAAAGATAAGCACTAGTTGATCACAATTCTTATAATTTCTAATAAAGATTATTTCCTCTTAGACATCAATTAAATACAGTATATATTTAAGTATTGCCCAAAGGTATATTTAAATGTATAATCTAAAAGATTTCCGAATCCATAAAATTTAATCAAAGCATAATCTAATAGCATGTATTAAATTTTGCAGCACTTAACTCTGATTTTCCGTCAGGCATTATAGTTGAAAAATCCAATGGAATGAAATTCAATGAATATTCTGAGCACATCCATTTTCAGTTAGGTGCTATGAATTTGGATATGACTCTAGTTATTGATGAAATACCCGCAACCATTACTGATGAAAGCTCCAAAGAAGAGGTAAATCTTCGTACGGCTTAAGAGCGATCGAATAAGTTGTGCTGGAATTTTATGAAGCTAACCATGGCGGATAGCATTAAAGCTTCAATGCCAAAGGCTGACAATGCGAAAGAATTCCTAGGACTGATTAAGGAACTATCTCAATCTGAAATTGCGGACAAGTCGATTGTGGGGAGGCTTATGGGCGAACTCACCACTATAAAGTTTGACTGGTCCCGCTCCATCCATGATCACGTAACCCACATGTCCAACATATCAGCTAAACTTTCAAACATGGAAATGGAGGTGGCCGACTCATTTTTGGTTCAATTCATCATGAACTCCCTACCTGCTGAGTTTGGCCAGTTCTAGGTGAACTACAACACCATTAAAGAAAAATGGGGACTATAAGGAAATAAGAGCCATGCTTGTGCAGGAAGTGGTGAGAAAAAAGAAGGTGAAAGAGGAGTTGACTCACTTTGTATCTCATGTGGGAACCAACAAGAGCAAGATGAGGATGGGAAACAAAGGCAAAGGAAAGGAGGTTGGTCCACTTAAAGTTTCTGGAGGACCAATCAATAAAGAGTTGAGGTGCTTTTTCTATAAGAAGTTAGGCCATCTCAAGAAAGATTGGCCGAAAAGGAAAACTTGGTTCGAAAATAAAGGTATGCATTATGTTTCTGTATGCTATGAATCAAATTTATTAGAGGTTCCCAATACTTGGTGGCTTGATTCTGGTGCAACTACTCATGTATCCCATATTTTGCAGGGATTCAGTTCGATCCAAATCATAAAGGAAAGTGAGCAATACTTATTTATGGGAAAGAGGATAAAGGCACGCATAGAAGGCATAGGGACGTATAGATTGATCTTGAGCACTGGTTGTAATATAGATCTTGAAAGATGTCTTTATGCACTTGAATGTGCTTGCAATCTTGTTTCATTAAGTAGATTGGATCTTTTAGGTCATTTCTATAATTTCGATAATGCTTCTTTTCATTTTACAAGAACAAATTATTTTGTGGCTATGGAAATTTGGTTGATTCGCTTTACCGTATTGAATTGCATAAAGAATTTTCTAAATCCTTGTTTAATGTTCAAAGTGTTCTTAGGATCAACGTAGTGCATATAATGAAAATTCTGCTCTATTATGGCATCAAAGGTTAGGTCATATATCCAAAGAAAGGTTATTAAAGTTTGTGAAAAATGAAATCATTCCTCACTTAGACTTTAGTGATCTAGATGTGTGTGTAGAATGCATTAAAGGAAATCAAACTAAACATATATTAAAGAAATTAGCCAGTAGAAGCACTCAACTCTTAGAACTTATTCACACGGATATTTGTGGTCCATTAGACGTCCCTTCGTGGGGCGGTAAGTATTTTATCACCTTTACGGATGATTTCTCACGTTACAGTTTTATCTACTGCATGAAAAGACTCAATCATTGGACTATCTAAAGATATGCATTGATGAGGTAGAAAGGCAGTTAGATAAAAAGGTGAAAGTTGTGAGATCTGATCGTGGGGGTGAATATTATGGTAGGTTCAAGGAAAGAGGACAGTGTCCTGGTCCATTTGCAAAGTTTCTTGAGAGT